GCTCCGAAGAGAGATTACAAACAGTTAAGATTATATTTTAAGTTACGAGTGGGAAGAGAGTAAGATGAAAGATGAGATTCAAGATGCGTGAGAGATGTGTATTCATTCTGAAAATGAGAACTCTATTTATAGAGTCTCGAAGATTACAAAATTCCTATCTGTTAAAGGTTGCCACGCAAGCCATATTGGATAAAGGAAAGTACTTCTAGAAAAACAGATAAAAAACTAAACTAAGTGCTGATGACAGTGGTTGCGGTTCTTGACTGCGGTGCAGAGTTGACTGTGGTTCCTTATGACAGCTTCGGATATTTTATAAGTTTAAGAGGGTTACTTTCAAAATTCATCACGCCGTTAAATACGGTCCCCATTTGTGTGATCTTTTCTTTCTCCTTTCCCTTAAACGACACATACCCTCAACTAAAGTTCTGAATGTCGTACATTTAAGATATGTCTTCTGTCATGTGCCTGGAATAATCACTATCAACATACCAAAGTCTGATGATATTCCTCCATAGCTGTTCCAGCACAGATTGCGGGATTAATTAGTCTTGGGAACCTAGTCCATTTTGAAACTGGGTTGACCTTCACCATCTATGCATGATAGGCGTTCCCAAGTCATATCCTGTTTATCAAACACAAAAAATGAAGAGATGTTAGAATTTTTAGGTGATTTGGGAGTTGAAACTTTTAGTACCCATCTGTAGTCAGGTTTAACCATTTTCCTGTTTAATCAGATGGATGTTTCAGCACTTGTTTTGGAGCTTGAGACTGATTGCTGAGATAACTCCGACCTTACAGATCTTGGTCTGACTGAACTATTTTTCAAATTAGACTTCTTTTCCGACATGCCCTTTTTGGCCTTGGGAGTTTGATTATTGGCCTTTTTAGCATTCTAATCATCATTGCTTGAACGTGACCTCGAAGGATTTCTTGTGGAAGATCTCCCCCTTGGTACGTTCTGCCAACCTTGTTTATAGTAAGGAACGTATGAACGATGTGGACAATTTCTAGCAATGTGACCGGGAGTCCCACAGTTGAAACAGGTTTGTCTTTCCGAATAAATAAGATTGTGACTTGGTCCTTGTCCAAATGAAGTTTGTTTTAAAGAACTTCCACAAGCACAAGCACATTTATTAGACTTTTTAACAAATTTTTGTTGCTTGAAATTTTCAATAGTAGGATTATTATCATCACAAGTTTTTGAAGCATTTTCAGCAGAAGTAGAATTATTTTTATTCTGCTCGAACCCATCTTGCACTGCTACATTATCTGCACAGGAAGTAGAAGTATTAGTATCATTCACATTAATACTCTCAATTGGGCCGGATTATTCAGTCTTGATTGAGACAATTACAGGGGGCTGGCCATATTGAGCAGGCGTCTCTATCTCTTTGGTTTCAAGGGGCGGAGTATATTTATCATTGAAAGGAGGTGGAACACTGTGATACCCTAGACCTATACCATGTTTATCTTTCCACTTTAATTGCTTCTCTATCATTGATTCAACTTTCTCACTTGACACATCAAATTTCTTAAAGTTAAATTCAGCATCTTTAAATTTAGCTTTCAACACATCAAGTTCGGCAGTTAATTTGGCAATTTCCTCTTTGGCATAACGATGGTGAACACATTTGGTGTTATATTCTCCCTAATCCTAATTAAATCTTTATTTTGAGCATCTAGTTTTTCTTTAAGGGGCTTGTTTAGTTTTTTAATTTCATAAATTTCATTTTTAAGATCAAAAACCTCTCTAACTAATAATTCATTTTGTTCACAGTATTTATTTATTTTATCATCACAGGATTGAGAACATGAGGTTTCACTTACCTTCTTGGTGATTGAAGAACTCATTATTCACCAAAATAATCTGACCAAAAACCAAAAATAAATGCTCTCTGACCGAAAACACCAATAGTCAACACCCTATTGACCGAGAACCTTGAAGGTTAAATTGTTTGATTGAAATCCCTTTAACCGAAAACGTTGACCGAAAACAAAATCAGACCGAAAACTAAACGGTTGACCTAGTTGTTGACCGAAAACTCCAGTAGCCGCCGAAATCACCTGAATCCTAGTCGAGAACTTAAACTTGCCGCCGAAAACGTCCAGGCCTGTTCAAAAAACTCCTAAAAATACCGGAAACACGAAATTGGTAATTTATCAAAACCAATTTCGATTAAAGTTTCAATGCAATGAAGAACACGAAGAACAACAGCAACAATTTTTCGTCAAAAAGAACTTAAGAACACCAAAAATACCGAGAGAAATTCCAAGAATCGTTTAATATCCTGCCAATTCGATTGATACCAAACCTTGCTCTGATACCAATTGTAAAACCCTGTCTAGAGTATCAATCGAAGTCACTAGAATTGGTGCGGAATCCTAATTCAATGATTAATGCAAAACGGTTATATCGAATTAAGAACACAGTTAACGAATCTTCAATGCACACTAAATTGAATGATAGTCTAGTACATAAGATTCTCAATTGCTCTCGGTTCTCTCTTTTTCTCTATACTCGATCTCAACTTCTTAGAATGACCAACTCGTTTACACGGCTGAAACAACAATATATATATATATATATATATATATATATATATATATATATATATATATATATATATATATATATATATATATATACCTAGACCTAATTACAAAGGCCCAACCCAAAACCCAACCAAAATCCTCATTAAACCCACCGAAATCACATGATGATTTCGGTCCAAACACCACCGAAAACATGGTGTTTTCGGTCCTAGACCGAGAACTCTAAAAGTCATCAAAAGTAAAGTATAAACCATAAACCACGTCCTAACAAAAACCATGCGAACCTTAAATAGGTCATAAGTTATCCAAAAAGACAACAATTAATGGAAAAAAAAGAACTAACCTAATCTACTTACATTCCCTATGTTTGTACTCAAATCATACCATAAACAGATCCTGGCAACTTATTTACATCAACCCGAAGCTCATGAAGGTACTTAATTACAACTCCCAAGCTCTAAAGGCGATTCATAAGTCAACCCATTTGACCGTAAGTTTATAAACCAATAGAAATACACAATTTTCGTATAAAAATGAAAACAAAACACTCTAAATTGTAACTAATTTGATGAAGTTGACAGTCCATTGTATACTTACGTTAAACAATACTAACCAAATTTCCAATCTCATGTGGAAGTGGCATAAAAATTCATTACTAAATTCAACATTTTTAAGTTATTCCAATTTCTCCGGGTATTAAACCAATGATTTTGCTTCCATATAAAATCCTAATAGAATCTATGAATTTTATCATGTTCATGAAAGTAAAGTAAGATGTCAAAAAACATTCAACTATTATAAGGCCGAAACTTGAAAAAGAATAAACCCCTTTCTAGATGACCCATAAATGTTCCTGAAAGATAAAAACCCACAATATTAGGGTACACATATCATAATAATCTTTATAATTGTCATTATCCTTTGGTCAAACAATTTCATAGACCATGCCAAACCTCATTTTTGTCTGTGGGAAATGAGTGTCAAATGAGATAATTAAAAATTTAAAATTGCTATTATCAGACACACAAAATGGTCATTAGTGTATTTAATTTATCAATTTCCCCAAAAACATTGAATCTTTTATCTTCAATACATGAACATAAAAAACCATAAAATCAAAACCAAAAATCATAAAAATAAACAAATTTGGAATGATTACTTAGTGGCCACTTGTAGATTTCAGGCCCTAAATATAACAATACCTTAAAATCAAACAAAACAAAATCAAGATGAAAAATTGAATATAATAGGGATGTCCTTAAGGTGTTATCAATGTCTTCCAACCATAAGTAAAACCAAAAGTAAGGACCGAGTATAATTCCACCATAAGTAAACCTTAAGTAAGGAAATAAATCATTGCGTCACGCTTCAACTTTTGCAGCTCCATCTGGATCTGGAAACTTAGAATACAAAAAAACATGGAAAACCAAAAACAACTTGATGAAATGGGAATTAAAATTCAAGCATGAGGGAAATAGATGAACATTGATGCGTCATTTGAGATTTATCAAACCTCGTATATAGGAGCCCAAGCACCGGAGACAGATAGACCCATCAATGATCATGGAAAACGGCCAAAAAAAACCTTGGTCGACGCCACCAAAAAAGATGGAAACACAGAGCAATTGAGATGGAGTCGGAGCTAAGGTTATGAGAAGAAGCAGTATAGATATATGGAAGATGGGGTATTCAAATTTTGAATTTTGAATCTTGAACCCCTACATTTACGCTGTAAATAGCCGCAAAAATCAAACTATTAGATTTAAGAATTTGCTGGTTTTAAGGGATGTGATGTGGGTAACTGAACTCTTAATGCAAATTGTGTCCATATACATGTTAAGACGGGAAAAACATAATATTGGATCACAGGAAGAAGCCACGTGGAAATGTAGGTGTTTATAAGAAGGACATGTGGCATCTTAAAGAAGTTTTTATTAAGAAGAAAGATGTATTTTATGTATTATGTTGTAAGCCCATTATTATGGCCCATGGCCTTTCTACACGTTATATATCCTTTTATATTTAGTGTGAATACCTAAATGAGTTTTCAGGGAAAAATATCTTTTGTAATTGTATTAACTGCTAGTTGTTAGCTTGAAATTTTAGTATTTCATAGCTTTGAACCAAAATAAATCTTTAGTATTAACTACTAGTCGTTTGCTTTAAATAAGTTTTTTTTTTGAAGTTTTGGTTCCGACCCTCCGTTCTAGTTTTAGTTCTAGTTTATGTGTTCCGCCCCTAACTTCTAATAGAAAATCCTGCTATACATTTGAAACAAATAATCAAGAAGAGTTAAAATTTGGGATTATATTAAATAGTAATCTAAACATATGTAAGCCCCTTTATTCTATAATTCTGACTTCTCGTTCTCCCAACGCCACCAAGATTAAGGAAGTGTGGAGACTACAACAGTAAGTTGAGCGGCATTTGTCAATCTGTTGGTTTTGTCATGTTTGTCTATGTACTCTGATCTCCAGATCGTAGTTTCCCACATTATGTTGCTCTTCTTGCATTCTGTCAAGGGATTCAACAATGGAGGTAATGTCATCAGTTTCAATAAGCTCAAGCGTTGAGATGTCCCCAATTTCGAGTGGAACCTCTTCAAGATAATTGCATTTCAACAAGACTAATCATTTGAGATGTGGGAAGTTGATATTAGAGGCATGCCACTGTTGGATATTTAAGTTTTGCAATTTCAAGAATTTTAGTTGTGGAAACTTCTCCTCACCAGTGTCCCATTGAGGTCCCTCAAATGCGTTGTCAAGTAGGTTGAGTTCCTCAAGGTTAGGTAACGACCGAATTATCAAAATATCACTCCATGGAAGACGACACCACAGTAATGTAAGTTTTTTAATTGTTGCAGGCATTGTAAAGTGATTCTTTTCAAAGATCGACTCACCTTTCGGAAAATCTACCTCCATTGATTTCATTCTGCTACCTGAACCAATTAACTTCAGTGATTCAAGATAAGCTAGTGATTTGAAGTCATTATCGTCGTATGTGTAAAGTGGACATGTAAGCTTCTTTATACCATGGAAACATTTAAGCCAACATTCAGCTCCATCTCCCAACTTCACATTGGAAATTGTTTTCAATTTCATTGGTTTTTTAATAGGAGGAAAGTAAATATCCCCGTCACTCCACAAATGACTCAGTTTGACCAAGTTTGATATGGTACTTGGCAACACCAATGGTATAAAATCTGTTTTAACAATGAGGGTTTGAAGGCTCCAAAGATCGCATGCAAAGCAACTTCATTCAGGCGAGAAGTGAGCAAAATTCGACTTCCAGTGTCATCATTTGGGAAAAAACGTTTCACTTCATCCCAAGTCTCACTGCTCCAGATATCATCAACGAGAATCAAATATCTCTTACCCTTTAGACTCTTGTACAACACTTCACGAAGTCGAGAATGGCTAGCTTTATCAAGATCTAGTTCAACTCCAATTGATGCAAGAATTTGAATCAAGAATTCTTGTTATGTTTGAGAAACAATAACCCATGAACGGATATGAAAATGGTACATGATAAAAGGATCATGGAATAATTTGGTAGCTAGGGTAGTCTTACCTAGGCCACCCATACCCACAATAGAGATGACATCTAGTTGCTTCCGATCTTCCGCAAGTTTGTCTCGTATCAGCTCCGCATGATGATCAAGCCCCACAACTGTTTCTTCCGATACTTTCATCATTCCTAGTGATTTTCTTGTGCAGGAAGATTCAGCAGCAGATGCGGATTGTATAATAATTTGAGATTGATCACTTACCTGTGGTGAACCCATCTTGTTATTGGTGATCATGGCGAATTCAACCTTGATTGACTTGATTGACTTTATTACTTCCTCAAGATCCAGGGATCTTTTGACCACGGAGAATCTAGTGAAACGTCCTTTATTTCTGAAGTGGACATTGGACAGAAAGAGATCGATGGCAGCTTGTTTGAATCTTTTCTTGAGATTTCTAACCTTTTCGTCTTGATCTTGGTCGATAAAAAAAATTTGGATCACGGGACAAAGCTCTTCATAAAGCTGTTGGAATTGAGGCGTTTCATACAGAATGGAAGGGCTGTTGATGATCAGTGGGTTATCTTTACAGTAAATCAGCTCCTTCAAGTTGTTCATGAACAACTGAAGACCTGCGTATGTCATCTTCTTTCTTCCTCTCTTTTTTTCTCCGAAGAAGGATATGCCAAGATGGTTGCGTTGCGTGGAGGTTCACAAAGTTAATTGGATATAGTTTGAGTTTGACTTTAATAAAGTTTTCCTGGAAGTTGAAATTAGAGGTGTTGTGTTTAGTTATTTCTCCTGTCGTCGCATTAAAATGTTTTGTATTACAAAATGATTCGGCATAACTCAAAAAAAGGGACAAAATACTGAATTAAATTTCGGAATTCACTAACTTTGTATTATGTCTCCATTCATATAAGATGATATCTTTTCTTATTCCGGTTGCTTGGTCGCATGATGACGTAAAGGGCTGGGACCCAATATATTAGGACTAGTATTATTTGATATTGTGTCTAAAATTCTTATCTGCGTTTCCTTTGCTTTCTTCTTCCTAGTATCTTATTATGTTTGTGGATTTTGTAATGAAAACCTTCTAAGTATATGTTTATTGTTTTGATTGATACTACACAATTTGGCTTTCTTGTTTGTTATATTAGTAAATTTTGTATTTCTTATTGAAAAAAAACAGTTAATTATCTGATGCTTAGCGACGGTTTGCTGTGGCCAAAAGTCGTCGCATTTATCATTAATGTGGCCGTCACTACTCACTATTTGTCGGAAAAGGGCCCGTCATAATCCATCTTTCGGTAATACCTTGGTAAGAACAATCCAGTAAAACAATATATAAGTAATCCATCTGCAGTTAGAAGTGTTTTTGTTCCTCGTTGATAAACGGTTTCTTTTATTTTTAAGAAGTTACAAAACCTTTTAGTTGACACTTATAAGAAGGTGTCTACACTTTTAAAGTTGAGATGACACTTAATAACCTATTAATATTATATCCATCTACCTTCTGTCCAGGTTGTTCTTGTTCCACTACATTTGTAGTTCGAAAATGTTCTGGATTAAACTACTTGTACAGTTGTACTGTTGTACATGAGCGTGCACTCCAGACTACATAGCTTAGATTTTTTCAGATCCTAGTTTAAAACCACTTTGGAATTCGTATGAATTCCAATTACCTAATGACCTCATGAAAATAAAAATGAACAACATTTTATGGGATGTAGAGAATATTCACGGTGGCAGACGATCTATGATTGCGCGGATTGAGAAACCATCTATAATTAATGAAAATGTATATACATACATGTATGATGTATCTATTACTACATGTTCTTCTTGGTCTATAACCACTAGACTTAATTTAGGGATGTTGCCGTTTTCTTTAGTCGCACAGGCAAACCATTTTTCATACCTAGAAGAAGAGAGAGAGTATAGGGCGGAGCCACCATCTTTTCCGGCGTTCCACCACCGCCAATCACCTCAATCTCAAACTCATACATGATAGCAACAACCACGGATTTCATCTGCAAGTAAGCCATCTCTTTCCCTAAACACATCCTAAACCCACCATGAAACACCGGATACTTAAACTGATCCAATGGTTGGTATACCCCATTGTTATCCAGCCATCTTTCTGGTTTAAACTCTCTACAATCTGACCCCCATAACTTCTCCATTCTCCCCATGGCATAGGCTGAGTAATCTGCAAACCACCCTTTTCCGACGTATGTTCCGTCTGGTAGCTTATCATAGTCTACCGTCAATCTGGAGTTAATTGGCACAGGTGGAAAGAGTCTCATGGACTCCGACAGAGCAGCATGAAGATAGTTCAGATTCTTCAAGTCCTCGAAGGTGAGGTTTTCTGGGTGAATATACGCCGATGAAGCCATTAACATAGAAAACTCTTTGTGAATCAAATCTCGACAATGAGGATGACCAGCTAATAACCAAAAGAACCATGTAAGTGCAGTTGCTGTTGAGTCTTTACCTGCAAGTACGAAGCTAATGATAATATCTCTCACAAATTTCCTCCTTTCTTCATCGTTAAAACCCATATCCCAACTTGAAGCCATGAATCTGGAGAGTAGATCTTCATCAGTTTTGGAATCACTCTGTGTTTCTTTAGATTTAATTATATCCATGGCGAACTGATTCACCATTTCAATTGCTTGTTTGTACTTCCTCTCATTACCGATGTTGAAGAATCTCTTCATCTTCCACACCGCCGGGAGAGGCGACATGAACCGGTTGGAGACATGCTCAACTGCGGAATCAAATGCCTGAACAAACAACAGATTGTTCGAGTGCGTTGAATTCGATGTCAATAAACCTGGGTCAACCCCAAACGCAACGTTACATATGTTATCAAACCCGAATTTACGGAGGACTTGCTGTAGATCGAGTAATTCTCCGGCGTCAGCAGCGGATGAAAGATGAGGGATTAAAGATCTGAAAATTTGGGATTTGACAGTGTTGGTGATGAAGGTTCTAAGGGACTTGGTGTTGAATTCATAACTCGCGATCTTGCGTTGGGAGGACCAGATATGGCCGTCGGAATTGAAGATTCCTCTGCCAAGAAGCTCGTGGAGGACGGAAGTGTAACGGTGGCCCTTGATGTAATTGGGGAAGTTGGAGCGGAGAAGGTGGTGGAGGTTGGTGGGATCGGCGGTACAGATACCGTGTGAGAGACCGAGGAAGCCGTTGACTTGGAGTGTGAGAGAAGGGGTGGTGGAAAGCATGTCGGACACCCAATCGTGGAAACGGTGGCGGTTGCGGAGGAAACCGATGAGGTTTCCGATGAGTGGGTAGGATTGGGGACATGGTGTTTTGAGTTGAGACTGGCAACGGCGTAGGAACAGAATTACCGACAAAGATAGGATGACGAGAGGAAGAAAACCATAGAAGCTGTCGGCGGCCATTTCATCATGTAGAGGATGAGGAGAGCAAATAGAAGTGTTATCTTTATTTTGAAAAGTTATGTCGAAAGCATTTGGTAATAAAAAAAGGATAAAGATTTAGGAAAATCTATTGAAAAGTAAGCAAAAGTTTTAATAAAGTCAAAAATTTCATTTTTTAAAATAGAAGAGTCTCCATTTTTTAACTAAAAAAAGCTGTTCATTTTAGTTATTTTTTTCAAAATAATATAACAAAATCGTTATTTTTTTTAAAATAATGGAATTTTTCTGAACATTTTGTCGAAACTTATATATAACGTATAAATGTATTTTTTTAGTATTTATATCTATTTTTACGTACTTTTGTATTTTTTAAGTTTTTAAATGTATATGTTTATATATTTTTATGTATTTTAAATGTATAAACGTATTTTTTATTCATATATATATATATATATATATATATATATATATATATATATGTTGGAAAAGATGTCTAAGCTCAAAACTATAATTGGTATGTATTTGATCCGATAGTAGCATGCTCCATTTGAGTTGCATTCATCAAAGCAAAATGTTAGGAAAGATATTTGACTAAGAAGTTATTTATGATTTATTAATATATTATAAGTATAATATATTAATTGAGGAATCATATTATTTAATTAGTATTGATCAAAAATTAATTTAAGAATTAATTTAGTGATCAAAAGAGACTAATTAAAATGATACATATGAGTTGGGCTAAAGATCAATGGTTTGATTTGTGATGAGCTTATGGGTTAATCCATGAAGTGTTTATCCAAATCAAATGGATGAGTCATGGGCTAATGTGTATGGATTAGGATTACACAGGACCCTTGATATTCTACACACATATATATGTATCTCTAAGTCCAAAATCACCACCACTTGTGTTTAAAAGAGTGAGAACCGATTTTAGAGTCTCCATAACCCCTTCATATCCATCTTAATTGTTCTTGGTGTTTTGTGATTCCATTTGAGGCATCACACTTGGGGTGCTAAGCGGTGGCGGATCTAGAAAAAAGAACTAGGGTATGCAACGACCGATCCAAAAAAAATTGTTGTGTTACAACATAATTGATGATGTTAAATAAAAATTAAATAATTAATTAAATTTTTGTATAGTAAAGTCACAAATTACATTAACTTTTCAGGAGATTCAAAATTTATTAAAATTGTAAATATTGAAAACAATATACAATTTTCATTATTTTGTTTATAATCTTAGTTAACAAACTATATATCCATTTTCTAATATTATATATTGTTAAACAATATATATGTGACATGTTAATGCATATAATAAATAAAAGACATAACTTACAAAGGCGCTTTTGATAAAGAAAAGAATGTAATTTAGGGTACATACGTAGGGTTATGCTATGGTAAAGACTCTAGGCACAAGTTTCAATTTGTTATTCTATTTGTATACGAATGTAATTTAGGGTACGTACATAGGGTTATGCTATGGTAAAGACTCTAAGCACAAGTTTCAATTTGTTATTCTATTTCCTATACAAAGCAGCAGTTTGCAGAACAAAGGGACAACAACTTTTACTTTAAAAACACTTTTCTTATGTTTATCAAGATTTAACAAAATGAGTTAGAGAGAAGCACATACTGATACTATATGCAATTCTTCAGGAGAGAAGTGAACAGTCCACTGGAGAACTGGAGATGAAGGGACGATATGATTTGCATATCTGATACAAAGGGCTCTAGTACTGCAGCGCGTGACGGAGAGGTGCTATGACAAAGAGGACCGTCCGGTGATGCAAACCATTCGGTGATTTATGAATGCCAAATAATCTTTGCATAATGTTTTTCTAGTATTGAGTATTTTTAGGGTTGATATTTTTAGGTTTAACTTTGATTTTATTTTATAACTTCTAGAAGATTTGTTATATGATTTCTGGTTTATCAGGGTCAAAAAGCTAGATGTGATTTTCTTTTTTGTATTAAATTTTTGAAGATAAAGCTTTGAATTATCTTAATATTGTTCTAGCGAGTCTTCATCCCCTGTTTTCAAGGTATGCAAGTTTTTTGAGGAGGGTATGCAACGACTAATTAGTATATATAATTTTTTTTAAAACATAAATAATTAGTATTTATTGTAAAAATTCAAGGGTATGCAATTGCATACCCTTATTACATTGTAGGTCCGCCCCTGGTGCTAAGCTTTCTTGAGGCCAAGTTATTCAAGCTACTATACAAGGT